AAAGAGTTTCCCTCTTTTACATATAGGTTATTTAGTGAAAGCCTCTTCAAGGATCACAGTGCACTAGCTTTTCTTCCCGCTCCGAACAGGTATCTGCTACAACCACTGCTGCTCACGCTGCTGCATGTGCAAAGTTCTAACAAAAATGAGACGTTGTGTGTGGGTGATGCAGGAGCGCAATAACAACAGAATGATAAACTATTCAAGCAAATGAGTTAAGCCCACAATCTTACTGAAGGGGAATATCAGACTGGAAAATTCACTGCAGAAACCTCTATTGTAAAGCAAAATGAAGAATTACTTCCTTTAAAAAGAAAATAAAACACAAATCCCAGGATATTTCAAACGACAGACGCTGATCCCTTGTGCACCATGTCTTGAACACTCTGCATAATTCTCAGCCCTCATCGCTAACAGGAGATAATAGAATTTGAAAGATATGGGAAAGGCTAAGAATAACAACTAAGTGCTATATTTTTTCTTTTTTTAATCATTAAGTGTACCTAAGTGTTAGGTCTCTAAAGCACATGCATTGTTATTTTAAAAAAATGACATAAACATACATTAATTAGTTAAGGGATATATAAAGTACCAGGAATTTTCACCTTAGCTAGAAGCCAATACTATTTAGCCTGTTTAGATTTTCTTGCATGCTGTTCCTATAAAATGTTTTCAAGATCAGAGATGACCTCCTAAGTGGCATATCTCAAAATAACAATAATAATACAATAATAAAAACTGTTAATACATTGTTATAATGATCAAAACTGATTTCTTTACGTGTTCTGAATGTAAACTAAAGCAAAAAATAAATACCTGGTGTCCAGCCATTATTTGCTTCAGTACATTTTCATAACATACTTCATCCATATGATTCAGCTGCTGCACCTGAAAAACCAACATCATACTTCATATCGAAAGTATTTCTATCTTTATGTATTTTCTACCACATATCAAGCAACTTACAATGATCCATGAAAGAAAAATGTGATTATGCAATTAAATTTACAATATACTGATTCCCACTCTTAACAATATCATTTTAGTATTCTTATATTCGCAAATAGAACATGAAAATAAGTAGATAAAATATGAGGAAGGGCAGTGGATAAAGAAATTATTACATGATTTTTTTGTGTTGTTTTTAATGACTAAAGAGATATAACCCAAGTCTATTCTATAATTTATCTGTTTAAGGATTTATCATATTAAGGATTCTTACTTCTATAGGATATTGATAAAATATCCATTTAATACATCATCTTATCTAACGTAAAGTTCTTCCATTTAGTAATATAAAAATAGTTTTAACATTGCAGATACACATATCCAGGAAATTACTGATTGTCAGCTTTTTTGCCTCAGAGAACTGAAATTTCTTCATAGTTGGGTCATGCATGGGGAAAGGCGGGAGTATCATGTACAGTCTCCAATTATGGATAAATAAATTGTTTCAGGAAAGTTGCAAAATAAAGAGTTTACCTGAAATAAAAAGTATTCTTCAAGAGACTAAAGATTATTTTTCTATTTTTTTATTCATCCCAATACAAATAGCATGTATCTACTTGAATGCACCTCGGTATTAATATTGTGACAAATTAAAATAAATACATGAAGTTCAAAATCACAGTAATCCATTCTTCATTGTGCATTCTTGTTCTATAACCAAATTTTTTTGACACAAATAAATGTTTTACAAGAGCAAAGCATCTAAAAAATTCAAAAATGGAAATTTAGTACTTGCAGTTATCTAGAACAGCTGAAAGTTGAAAAACACAGCTTTAAAACAGCTTTAGAGGGAAGAAGAGAACATTCATATTTGGAATCGTACAAATATAGCAACAAAAAGACGAGACAACATGGATATCTGTGCAAGAGGCAAGTAGCCAGCCTAATTATTCTGAAAATGAGAGGTTAGCATTTTAATTAGTTATTTTTTCAAATAATAACAAGTGAAAATCATTAAGGAGAAACATACACAGGCAGTGCATAAATACACATGTGGACATAGAGATATACACATACATACAAATGTAACTTTATGTATTCTTTGCATCTATACCTAAAGAGGAAAACATAAACATGCATAAATTAAAAATAACCGACATCAAATAAAAATATCTGACATTAACAGACCTCCAACTGAAGAAGCCAAACTTTAGTCTTGGTCCCACATGCTCTAAGACTTTCAACGTACAGAGTTTTAAGAGCTTTCCTGGCTAACTTCTATGCATAAGAAATACATGATGCTGTTCTTGCCTTTGAAATCTTGCCTACGGTTTGCATGTGATTCTGCAAATCACTAATCCGCTCCAATTTTTTTTGGAGGTTTTTGGATGAATGATGTCAGAAACCTGTGGCAAAGCATCTACCTCAAGTAACTAAGAGCCTTCCATCTTCTTGAAACTCATCAGTGTGGACATAGACATAGCATTGATAGCACTTGCTGATGTTCTGTGGGTTCTTACATCGCTTTCTTCCTCTCATACAGACCAGAAAGATATTGATATTGGCAATAATTTGGCAGCTTTAGTATTAGTGTTATCCTGAATAGAATCGTTTTTCAAAGAGGCTTGATACTTTTACTTTTCATTTGCTATAATATGTATAAACTTGATGGCACAATGTATGTTACTCTATGAAATCTGTAATAATGTTCTTCTGAAAAGCAAAAACTCCTCGCTGTGGTATTACCAAAACACTCTGCCAGGTACTCACATTTCAAAATAACTACTAGCTTCTAATATTTCCTCATCTCCTCGTGGTTTTTTTTTTAGAAAATGTACTGGTTTTTGAGTAATTTCAAATTTTATAGGATTATTTGTATATTTCTTTGATTTTTAAATTCCTAAAGTAAGTATGAAGAAATTAAGTTTTTTCTTTTTTCTTACCATACAGTGGAAGTAAACTAAATATTCAAATCAAGTATCAGGAAAAGATTAAAGAAAAGAAACAGCAAATAACAGTGAAGGTACTCGAAACAATTAATGAAGGTTAAAATATGCAAATCATGGTAAGCACCATACGGTAAACTATTCTTGTGTGTATAGACTTGAAACGGCTCCCTACAGTTGTAAAATAAGCTTTTCCTGCATTGCAGAGGGAATGAACTACTTAAATAATCGACTAAGAAAGGCAATGTGCATTTTTACAAAAAAGAAAAAAAAATCCTATTATCGATTAAGCCATTAACTTTTGATTGAAAATGTTCTGATTTATATATTAAATTGAATCATAGCAGAATAAGATTTTCTAAAAGTTGAGCTATATACACTTTAATTATCACCTAGTGAGATGCACAGGAAATCTTATGGAGAAGTGTGTGAATTAATTCCTATATTAAAAGAAGAATTATAATTTACGTGTCAAGTGGCACTGCACTTATGATTTTTAATGAGACTATTATACCTGACCATGGCCTTAATGCTTCCCAAAATGAGCAAGAGCACAAAAAGTAAATAAGCTTATTTAGGGACTTTAGTGTGTTTTCTATCGGATGTGCACATATAATAGCTAATGGCTTAGCATGCTAAGGATTTTATCAATAATTTATAACTAACTAGTTTTAATGCATGTCATATTAATATATATAGACCCAGATTTCATAAATGAATATTTTATTACAATATTCCTCATGCACCCTTGCAGCCAAACAAGTATTATAACCTGAGGAAATACGACTCTTAAAGCATCTTTTAATTATGTTTATCTTTATAGAGAAGAAAATATGTTTCATAAAACACCTGCAGCATAACAAACCAGTGCCCCCTACACATACGTATGTGAAGCATGATCAAAACAAATAGTAACCCTTTCTTTGGCATTCATGATTCTTTACCTTATTGGTTGTCTTAATTCCTATAAAGGTTTGTCCCAGAGGTACAGGTCGGAAACGGCCATCAAAGTAAAATAGTCCAATGCAGGGATTGACGTGTAGAAATGTAGCAACATCAAGATAATTGGGTAATGTAGCTGAAAGGCCCAAAATCCTAATCATACTTTGTGTAGACTCAACCTATTAAAAAAACAGAAAACCTGTAGATGATTCAATTGTTTAAGCCAAGGAATCAATCAAAGAGTTTTAAAATAATGTGAAAGAAGCATTTAATACTTTCTACAAAAGGTGAACAATAGATGCGAGTTAGTGATTGCTCTGTACTGAAGAAATCAGAGTACTCTGTAATTCCATCAAATTTTGCTTATTCATCTTTCTATTTTATTGTACTTTTGCCCTCCAAAAGGTTATTAACTGACATGGAGGAACAATAGCAGTAAAACTGCCTTTGTTAAAAAGGGACAGTCCAATTTATAGGCAAAACTGGGACAGATAATTTGGTATCATTTCTTTCTTAGTCCAAATCACACCACGATTCTGAAAAGAAAGAAGAATGTAATTCATATTAGTCCTGTCTTGGCTTTTGCTTAGACCTTTCTACAACTCTCAGACAATTTATTCTAGTTCATTACTATCTGAATTTCTCCAGTATGTAGCAGCACTTCTGCAGAGTTGAAGATATTTAAATACCAAGAAGTCACTCTGTAAAAGACTTTTTTTTTTCTTTAATGCCCCAAATGTTTGCATTACATGCCTTGCCATTGAATAGGGGACAGAAATGGTGCTTTACAATGAAATACTTTGTTCCACATAAAAGCCTGCATATCATATTTATTGCTAGGTAATTTTCAAAAAGACTCGAATAAGGAAAGTATGCAAGAATTTTCCCATTTCCTTCTGGAATATTAAAAGCTGTGTAGGCTGGCTTACAACTTTCTTACTACCATAATTATTTAGAAGTGAAGTTCACTGTAATTTTCATCAAAAGGGTTTTTATACAGTATAACTGAAGTCATATACAAGATTCTCAACTTGTCTCAAATGTGCGAATGTCTCATGATGAGTAAGGCTGATAACTTCTACCTGGCTAAAGCCTCTTCAAAACAATATGAGGTTTTACTCAGAATATAGATTTTTGAATCACTCAGGTGTTTTGAGTTAAAGTGAAAGGAAGTGCCATGTAATTAAAACAGATGAACTAAAAGTTTTCAAAAAGGATTACTAAAAAGCATATGAAGAGCATTCTTAAGGAAGATAAAATATACCATGTCATAACATGGACCTGGCGAATAACGAGCACATCAAAATAATAAACCAAATCCCAAAAGAAGCTACCCTCCACAACTCCACAGACATCAAGCAGACAAAGTAAATCACTACATTGCCTGATAATGGACATGTTCCTTGGCAAAAATGTGGATGCTTAAACTGTGGATGCAACCAACTAAACGACACAGAAAACCTGCTGATTGACCCTGCTGCACTTATAGAAAGATCAGCTTTGCAAAGGAAAGCCCATGTACAACAAAATCGTGTATGTAAATGCAAATTTTGAGATGACTGAGACAAATGAGAGATTTAATTTTCAAAAGTCTTCCATCTGCAGGGAACAAAAGCAGCATTCACCCTTGAGAATACAAATAAGCATTATCAGTTCTTACACATCTTTTAATAACTGCATTATGTGATGACTTAAGGGTTATAAGTCTCAACCACACAGTTTTGAGGTGTTTGAGGTTTGGGTTTATTTCGGAAGAGGGGGAGTGAGTGGCTTTCTTTTTGTTTGCGCATTTTTGTGGGTTTGGTTTGGTTTTGGCTGTGTCCCCTGGAGCACCACCTCCTTCTGTGCTGACCTTGGTGTCTGTAGGGCTGTTTCTCACACTTTTTTCCCCCTCACTCCTCTCTCTCTCAAACGCCGCACAGTGTTTTTACTCTTTCTTAAAGACACTTTTACAGAGGCAGCACCACCGTGGCTGCTGGGCTGAGCTGTGCCCTGCGGTGGGTCAGCTGGAACCAGCTGTGTCCGTGTTCTGGACACGTGCATCCAGTAGAAAAGTTTAATTTACTTAATGTTTATACTTTTTTTTTAAAAAAAACTTGAATCTGTAAGAACAGTAACCGGCTGCTGATATACTTCTCCTGCACTTTGTTCATAATCACCTGATAATAAGTACAACAAACTGAAAGCTGAGCTCCAATCTGGAAAATGTTATTTGATTTTGCTAAATTCAATAACAACTTTTTTCAAATCTCCTAAGAGCCTCAAAGCACTAGTTTGAAAATGCGCTCAGTTCCACCTGAAGGTAGGAAAGCATTTCAAGTATTTAAACAATTAACAAGAACTCTGCTTAATCACCATGGAAGTATGAATTTTTACAGCAATTGACTGTAAGCTGTAGGCTCACAGTTTTCTTTCAAAATATAAACAATGCCTAGAGAACAGTTACAGTTTTGTGAGACTTGCCACTTTCAAAACCTTTGTAAAAAGAAGCCATTTAACTTCACTGATGTGGCAGGTGGCCCTTGAGTTAAGGAGATGAGTGAAAACCCTGAATTATAACTCCACATGAAAACTGCAGCAGAGAGCTAACACGAGCAAGTAATTAAAAGTACTAATATGTATAGCAGATTTTTAAACAAAATAGATTTTTGCATATTTTGTATTACAGTTTACACATATTTGTGCATATGTATATAGTGCCTACGTAACTTTTTTGATTTATAAATCTAAAATTTACAAATTATTCAGACAATTTGTTTTCTATCAAGCCACAAAAATCAAGTCAGAGTACTAAGAAATCAGGCAATAATGTCTTTTGATCTATAGTAATGTTTTCTTAGTCTTCATAATTAAATAAAGACTATTAAGACTCTAAATCATTCCATCAATTTCTTTAACTTCTTTCAAGGCTATCCAAACAAAAAGTCTTTACTTTTTACCATCTAATTTTCTATTCACTTAGCCACACAAAATATCAATAATTAATAGATATTAAAAAAAATAACCAAGAACCAAAAAAGGCACATCTACCCTAAAAGACAAAATGTATCATAACAACTTTCCCAATTATTTTATGCTTACATCAAATTAAAACTGTAAACTAAAACTCCGCGTGACTGCACATCATCATATACATATACAGAATGAGTTTTGTTTATTCTTTTAATTATACATGGCAATATATCAACAACAGTGACTAAAACTGTGATAAACTTAAAATCAAAATTACCCAAATATGCAACCATAACACATGATTTTTTTTTTTACTTTTTCTCTGTGATTGTAACTCAATTTCAACTATTTATCCATTATTCATCTATTCAAGCAATATATAGACTTTATTTTTCATAATGGCTTTTAGAATTCTAACCCATTTTTGGAACAGAGTTCTCTGCATACATTTTTCAAATACTTTTCTGACTTTCCTTTGAAGAGCAAGCATTAGTATGTTTTGCTCTCAGATGCTTATAAAGAAAAGTAAGTCTTGAAAGTGTGCAGATGGCCTTTGTAAATACAATCCATTCAAACACTGATGTTTTTCAAGTGCTGAATCACTTATTACTTGGTCCTAGAAGTCCCAATTAGAGATGATACTTTCATATACAACATACTATGAACATGTCTTTTCCTGAAACTGCATTAAAAATTACCGAAAAGACATTTTGGATGACAAAGTTTTCTGTTTACATTCTCTGTCACTGGCTGGTGTTATGGAGCTAAGCGCATTTTCTTCACTACTGGCACACAGTCTCAAAGATATTAATCTTCATATGTGTATAATTATCTCAGTAAAAATATAAGCATCATTTGAACTTACAAGGCTTTCTTAGGAAAACTGAACTGTCATAGTATTTACACATCATGTTCTTTGAAAGCTTTACTATATTGTATTGATTTGATGTTATACTGGAACTAAAAATTAAAATTGCCATAACTATATTTAATTGACATATCTAATTAGTATATCTAATTCAAAAGCATTCATGATGGCATGTGGAGAATTGACAGCATGTTCACCATACACGTTCTTAGGACACAATTATAACACCATGAAATTCCAAGTACACGGAAAAAAACCCCAGAAGATAGCTATCCAGTACCAATCTCCACACTCAAGCATCATCTGCGTTTACACTGTAAATGATAAAGGATCAGGTATAAGAAGTGCCTCTCTGGATTGTAAATTGATCACAGCAGGATCATTTTCTTACTAATAGGTTTTAAGATTTGCATAACATCTCATTACATTTCACTCGCCACTTGAGAGCATACAGAATATGCATAGAGATACTCTTTTATCTGACTTCTAAAGTTCTTCCTGAACTTTGTGATCTTGGCGGTCTTCCCATTTCCATGTATTAAATATTACATTCACAGAATGAATTACAATCAAGCTGGAAAGCGTATCCCTCATTGCTCAACTCCAGCACAGAATTAAGTGAAGCACGCAAGTTTACATATTCTAATCTTTGAAGAACTGTCCACTGTTTAGAAATTAATCTGATATTCAGATGACCCAAGATCACTTCAACACACCCTCTTACAGTCTGTATGCCCTTCAGATGTACCCTAAAGACAAGATACACAGAAAATTAGCCACAAGCATTTCAGTCTAGAGGTGCAAGAAGATGAATTCTTAACTTAGGTTCCTGAGTTCCCTGCTCAACAGTGGTAAGAATAAAGTACTGCATACAGGGATTCACATTAGTTATTAGTCAGATACCACCCTCCCCACAGAACGGCCCTAAGTCTCAGCCTCTCACAAGATCTATGTTTTTCCTATTATCCAAAAAGATGGAAAAAAAGAAAGGAAAAAAAAGGAATCCTTAGAACATTAAAAAAAAAAAAGAATTAAATGTCTTTCAAAATGACTAAAAAGGGAGTTTGTTAGAATGTTTCACTAGTGTTTACTTGTTTATTGATATCTTGTTTACTAATGAAAGAATTAAGAAGTTGTTAATCAGTCCACATAGGTGTTAACTTCCTAGTTTTCGGAACAGAAATGGAAAAAACAGTTAAATTGTAAAATCAAAAGTACATAGTAAAAATGCAATTACTAATACTGTTCTGAAGATTCTACATAGGACGTTATCTACAACTCCAACACTCTGCACAGAATGCATTTGTTACTAGGCAACCATCTAGTTAAGTAATTTTATAAATTAGTTTTACTCTGCTT